GCTTACAGAAGCATCACTTTCTTGTCATCCTAATCAAATTCGAAATTTGTTCGCTATAATTTTGACAACCTGTTCACCTTCGAATCCTTGAGAACTTTGGGAAATGCATCGTGAAAGCCTCAGCGAAGACATTCTTCGGCAATCACGCCGGACTAATCCAAATGTGGAATATTCTAATGAAATTTTCAATGGAGCGCTATTACTTATTGAGAATGTTTGCATAACGATCAACAACAAAGTCCTAAGTCAATTTGGTATGCCGGCACCAGTACGAGAAAGAACAGACTTGCAAGATAATGATCTGGTAAGAGAACAACAATTTGACATAAATGAACTACGACAAATCGTAGAAACAAATAGAAGACTTTTGGTTCCAGATCAAAGAAATGCCTACGACGAAATAATGCAACGTGTAGACAATGAAAGTGGTGGAATTTTTTTCCTTGATGCTCCAGGTGGCACAGGGAAAACTTTCCTCATAAATTTAATTCTGGCTTCAATCCGAATGCACAATGGAATAGCACTTGCAGTAGCGTCATCGGGAATCGCTTCAACACTTCTGGATGGAGGACGAACGGCACATTCGACACTCAAGCTCCCATTGAATTTGAATCAGACAGAAACCCCAACCTGCAACATCAGAACAAATTCAGGGATGGCTACAGTGCTTAAAACAAGTAAAATTATTATATGGGACGAATGTACGATGGCCCACAAAAAATCACTTGAGGCACTTGACCGCACTCTAAAGGATTTCCGAGGAAACCCCGAACCAATGGGAGGCGCTCTAATCCTTCTTGCTGGGGATTTTCGCCAAACTTTGCCTGTTATACCACGATCAACACCTGCGGATGAGCTGAACGCGTGCCTAAAGGCATCCTTTTTGTGGTATCATGTTGAAAAAAATCACTCTCTCAACAAACATGTGTGTGCATTTATTGAAAGAGGACTCTGCAGAAACATTTTCAAAACAACTTTTGGACTTGGGAAATGGCAAAATTGAAATCGACCGGACAACTGACGAGATTACGTTTCCATCACAGTTTTGTAAAATGCAGCCTAATATTCAATCAGTTGTAGAGATGGTATTTCCGAATTTAACAACCAACTTCAAAAATCCAGATTGGCTTTGTGAGCGGGCAATTATGGCTCCCAAAAATGATGACGTCAACAAACTAAATGATCAAATTCAATTGAAATTGCCTGGAGAATTGATCAAATACAAATCGGTTGACTCAGTAATAGATGAAGGACAAGCGGTAAACTATCCAGTCGAACTTTTGAATTCAACGGAGTCACCAGGGATGCCACCCCACTTACTTACATTGAAATTAGGATCGCCAATTATAATTATAAGAAACTTGAATCCACCAAAGCTTTGTAATGGTACAAGACTGACAATAAAGAAATTGACTCGAAATTTGATTGAAGCAACCATTATAAATGGAAAGTTCAAAGGAGAAGAAGTATCCCACGAATACCAATGATTTCCTCAGATTTGCCATTCGATTTTAAGCGACTACAATTTCCAGTACGTCTTGCATTTGCCATTACGATCAATAAGGCACAAGGGCAATCTTTGACTACTGCAGGCTTAAATTTGGAAAATTCCTGTTTTTCACATGGCCAGTTATACGTGGCATGCTCACGAGTTGGTACTCCTGAAAATTTGTACATTTATACACCAAATCAAAAGACAAGAAACATTGTTTATCCTTTGGCCTTACAATGAAATTGATTGTATTTTCTATTTCATTCACTATTTTTTTATTAAAAACTATCATGATGTATTTCTGTAAACAACTTTATTTGGGCGCAGCAACGCGCGCCGGGTAACTGCTAGTCTTAATATATAAAAGAAAGTTGTGTTAGTTACAGCGTTTATAACTAGAAAACTACTGAACCAATTGGCATGAAAATTTACAGGAATATTCCTTTGGTACTAGAATAACATAATAGCCTGTTTCCGTTTCAAAAACCCTTAAGGGAAGCGTCCTATGGCCCTTTGCAGTTTACATGTTAATCTTATGGAAGAAGGTTTTATTTTGTTTATTATGCCATGTTTGTCATTTCTTTATTAAATTAAATTAAGGAAACAGCTGTTGTGATGATAACCTAATTTTTAAAAACAAATCTTTGCATAACAAATGAGAGCTATCAAATAGGTTTCTATTCCATTTTTTTTTCGAATTGTTGTCAAATGTAAATGAAGGCAAGTGAGCGCAGCGAACGAGCTCCAACCTAAAGGTGAGTGAGCGTAGCGAACGAACTTCAACCAGGACGTGATTGAGCCATGCGAACGAGCTCATCTTGAAAATGAACGAGCATTTGACATAAAACCACATTAGGACAGGACGACGTCTGTCGGGCCAGCTAGTTGTTTGTAAAGAACTTAACTGTTAGAAGATGAGTGAAATGAATATTAAAAAAGTTATACGTAACCCCCTGTATATTGTCGGGTCAGGTAAAAATCTGTACGTTACACAAGAGCGTGTTTTAGGTGAATATGCAGCTCACGTCCGCTCGTTGCACAACATTCACCTGCGTGATGTAAAACCGCTCTTACTACACTTATAAGGTAAATAGCTATTAAGTTTTAGAACTATCCCTCCCGACAGAAAACCACCACTTGAGCGAACTCCATTATCGCAACGTGACGATGCAGAGCCATCGTCACGGTGGTGTAGTGGGTAGCGCATCAAGCTCACGTTTTGAAGGTAGCCGGTTCGAAACCCATCGGAGGCACTGATTTTAGCGAATTTCCCTATAGGGAAGTAGCTATTACCGTATGTGGCACGGTAAGACCTAGACCCGGGACCGATTTACTTTTTCATTTTGATGTCCCCGGAGGCCAAAAACACCATTCGTCCAAATTTTTATATATGTATTTATATATATATATATATATATATATATATATATATATAGATTTATATATATATATATATACTAGCTGGCCCGATAGACGTCGTCCTGTCCTAATGTGGTTTTATGTCAAATGCTCGTTCATTTTCAAGAGAGCTCGTTCGCAATGGCTCAATCACGTCCTGGTTGAAGTTCGTTCGCTACGCTCACTCACCTTTAGGTTGGAGCTCGTTCGCTGCGCTCACTTGCCTTCAGGTTAGCTCGTTCGCTACGCTAACTCGCCTCCAGGTTGAAGTTCGTTCGCTACGCTCACTCACCTTTTGGTTGCATATTAACTGTTGTCATAAATTTAAAAAAATAATGGTGCTGCACCCTGTTGGTAAGCCTATTAACTTTTTAATGCTAATGAACATCACAGAATCAAATTCTTTAGTTGAACCAGCTGTTAAGATTCTTTAATTCCATTTAAATATGAGTACCTACTCATAAGGTTAACATGGGAAACTCCAGAGCCACTGTGGCGGAGCCCTTTTCACGGATCTGCACTAAACTTCACACAAACCATCCTTGAATAATGCTTAATAATGCCTGAAAGTTTCATTACAATCTGTCCAGCGGTTTTGGAGTCCATAAAGGACAAACATACAAACATACATTGGATTTTATATATATAGATACGTCCGTGAACGCGATAACTTGAGTAATTTTGGTCCGATTTTGATGAAATTTGGTTTAAAGGTGTAAAGCGAGATAAACTTGAATGAGTTCGCGAACCAGCATGATCGGACAATGGGAACGGGGCTTTAGGGGGGGTTTTATGGGGTAAAAATTTGTTTTTCTCACTTTTGACCCTCAAAACACAAAATTTCCCAATTTCTCTTTAAACTTTTTTAAAGAGCTTAAAAAAACAAATAATTTAGTATATAAAAGTATTTTTGTTCGATTATTAGTAACGGAGAAAATTAAAAAAATTGTAAATTTAAAATTCCCATGTTATTCTTATGGAGAATATTGTCAAATGTTGTAATTTGCTTGTTTATGGATATATTTTGATCAAACTTGGCAAATTTATTTATTTTGTACTAAGCTATCAATATTCTACTCAAAAACACACTTTGTTCCTTGTAGCAGCAAACCTAGGTACTCGTTAAACCTAATGTTATTAAAATATATTTAACTGAAAATCAATTCAGACAAATGGAAATTCGCTTAGTCGGCAGGTTTGCTGCGGCGGGGGTATTTTTATTAGATATTTTCATTAGCAGCAAGTTTGGTTAGGTTATGATAGATGGTTTAGTTATATATAATAAAAAAAATCATATACAGTAATTGAATTTGAGGCATTTTTAATTTTATTTAATGAACAGAACTATTTTTTCCATTAGTAAACCTTCATTCGATTTGTTCATTATCAGCAAGTTTGGTTAGATTATGACAGTTTATTTTATAAAAAAAATATATAATTAAATTTGAGTCATTTAAATTTTATTTTATAAACAGAACTATTTTTTTGATAATCTTAGATTTTTTCGTTATCAGCATGTTTTGTTAGGTTATGACAGGTAAATTAAATTAACTTTAAATTTAACCTTTAAACGTTACCTAGATACACTCTTACCTTCATATATAGATATACACTGAATGTTAGTAAACAAGGTTATGAACATACTACAAAGAATATTGGATATGAATATTGTAAACAATTTAGAAAAGGTATCAACACACTTTTTGTTTAACTTAATTTTAAATTTTGTTAGGATAATTTATTTATTGTTCTATATTTATTGTTCTCTTTATAATATACATAACAAATTGTCTACGTTGAGCCATGCCTACGTTCCGCCAACTAGTGTCATACCTTTTTTTTTACTGTTCAAGCTTTATATAGTACGTGTTTTGGAAATGTTGATTTTTTGACACTCCCCGACATTTTTAAAAGACGTAGGCTTGAACGATTTATATATAAATGCGAATAGGCTTGGTACAAACCTTGAAAGACTTGAATAAAAAAATTAGTCATAACACTCGGCGGTGCAACGTAATCATGGCTTAACGTTCTGGCTAACGAAAAGACTTGAGTTTTTGTCCATTCTAAAACAATTAATTTTAGGTTTTTTTATTTATCTGAATTTTAGGCAAAACCAGTGGTTAGAGTGCAGACGGACGTTGGACATCCTATGATGGAGATCGACCGCGCGTATGAGGTAATATACTGGTATATGCCTTAATATCATTTCCCACAGTCGTGGACATATTGCCATAATCACGGCAATATTCTAACCACCTTCCACGGTCATGTAGATATCATCATCGTCCTTCTTGTTCACGGCAAATGTATGATAAGCTCCCGCGGTCTCGCCGAAATTCTGATTATCCTGGAGGAATTCCCCTTCCCCCGGTCGTTTTGACATCAATATCGTCTCCTGTGATCACTTCAAACTCCCGATCATCTCTGCCATAATGGAATAACCATCATCGTCTTCCTTGACCACCGCAAATTTGATTGTCTTCCGTGGTTGTGTAGACATCGTCGTCGTTTCCCACGATCACAGCAACATCTTGATTAAGTAAATGGCAAATGGCTGGCAAGTCATTTCAAAAGTACTAGAAACATTAGCAATAAAACCAAATTTAGAACGTGTAGAAAAAGAACAATTACTTCCTATACTGCAGTCAGAATTTAGAATAGTACCTGAAATGCGCTGGCAAATATGTTTGCAGACTTGTTTGGGACGTAGAATCAAGGCAGGTATAGCTCTGTATTAATGCTTGACTATTCTCAGGTGGTTGACTTCATAAGCTACAGTTTACTACTTGCTAATGAGTAATGAAGGACATCTTAAATTCATGGATAATATAATTGCTTGGGTGCAGACGTATTTGAAAAAGTATAAAATAAGACTAGAGCGGAAACTGATGTCTCATGTACCCTTGACAAAGTCAGGGGGTGCCGCAGGGGAGCTTTCTAGGTCCCGTTTTATTCACCTTGTACGCTGCAGACCTTTCCAGTAGCGTACACAACTGCAATGTGCACGCCTATGCTGATGACTGTTAGTTGCATTTATCCTATGATGACAATTCAATTGATCAGGCTGATGCGAAGGTGAACTTGGAACTGGTAAACGTGAGTGGTTATACTTAAATACTTTCTTATGCGAGTAAAGTCCATAGTCCAAGGGTCTACAGGAGGTATCGCTGCCACCACTACTCTAATTAAGGGAGAGTAGGCCCTAATGACACAACGGAGATAAAATGAGATGATAAAATAATTACTTGGGATGATGAAAATAAAATAAGAGATTTGATGCTGAAAACTTGAATTTAAAATGTATTTGAATATTATAGAACAATGTGCGTGTATATATATAGACTTTGAGAAATGATAAGAACAGTATGATAGGTGAAGCGCGATTAATACCTAGATGATAATGTCCGCGTGCCTCTTCCCTATTCCAATACGGGATCAAGTCACTTCAATGCGTATCTTTGTTTTTACACTTGTATTGAAATCACGTGATTCACCGTTAGATAAGCCTAAAGGCCGTAAAGAACTAAGGAACCTGTTACAACATAAATACATAAGCAAAAAAAAATACAACTAAGAATAAGAAGAATAAGAATAATGTTTATTTTCCCAAATAGTTACAAATAGATACAACAAAACAAAATGACATTTTTTAGGCATTATTACAAAATGACATGATTCAAAACCAGGAATTACTCTTGTAGCTTCAATACTCATACATTCTAATCCACTTAAGGCTAGTACATTTAGATATTCGTCTGTTGTTAACTTATTCTCAAGTAAGTTAATGTTCAAATCACCAATAAAAATGACATTTTTATTACCTCTCAAATTTCTTTCAATAGTCAGTTCGTCCAAGTTCGTCAATAAATATTTCTTTTGAAAACAAATGCAGTCTGTAGAAGGAAAATATATGAAAATCCTGACCATTGACATTAATATTAATTTTAATTAGATCGGCAGTATTGGATTGGACATTATGACAGTTTAAAACCTTAATATTTTGTTTGACATAAATAATGACACCTCCTGCTCGATAACCGTCATTACAGTTAGCATACAATTTATAGTTTGGTATATCATACAAACAAGTTTCATTTGACATAATCCAAACTTCGCTCAAAACAATTGTATCTGGATACAGGCTGGTAGCTTCAAGTTCAGCTAAAAGTAAATTAAAGTTCTTCCTAACACACCTATATTTTGATGGACAATTTTAACTAAATATTAGGTACACTTAATTTAGGGACGGTGACACGCCACATATGCACTCTCACACTTCTTAGGTCGTGCAGGGAATAATTGCTTTTAATTTATATTTGGACCTTTTTTATCAAATGATTTGGTTTTTACAATACACTTTTATTTGTCAATATTATACAGCAGATATTCACTATGTTTTTATAAGTCAGAATATTCAATAATCAAAACAAAATTATACACAAATCAGGTCAAACGTTGAAATACCTTTTTTATAGTAACCAAAACGAAATTCATTTTTGCAATGTAATTTATTTAGGCTCCATGGCAAGAAATAGTTTATTAATCAATATAAAACAACTGTTTCATGAAGATTTTTATGTAGCTTCATTTAAATGGCTTTAACTAACAGCTGTAGGATTATTATTATTGTTATTATTTAATTAATGCCTCCTCTGCACAAATATAAACAAAAGAAAAATTTTGAATATTTGAGATTTTCAGTATTTTTCACCGAAACAAATACTACACACATAATGCTATATATGGTACCAAATAGAAACTCTCCTGGTTATTTTAGTGGCGGAACCACGCTGATCGGTAAAAGAATCACAGAGAAATTGGTGAACATACATAAAAAATTGCCACAAAAAATCAAATTGAGAACCTCCTCCTTTTGTTGGTAGTGGGGAAGTCGGTTGAAAATAAATATTAGGGAAATAAAATAATAACACTTTTATGGATTTCATGCTATCAACAATCTCGTTGTCAATGTTATACTGTATTAATAAAGTAATTGTTTTTAGAGAATATTTATGGTATACAAGCTGACGTCTCAACTTTATGAACAGTCTTCTGTTGTAGTTGAAGGGTCATTGAATGACAATGCTAAATGGTAAGATAAACTTTTCTTTCTTTTCAAAATATTTATACTTAAATCCCATTGTAAAATAATCATTACTTAATTACTTGATCACTTTGCCCACAGGTGAAATATTATAATGGATGGATTGATTGTCTGAGTAGCTGAGTAGTTACAGTACTTGACTTCAAATCTGAATGTTCCTTGTTTATCCTTAGCAAAGTCAATTCTGGACCCAGGTGACAATTTGTCACTTGGCTGCTAATTATTGATGCAAACTACAAGTAGGCTAGGAAAGGAGGATCGTTACAAGATCACGGTTTACATTTTCCCTTTAGAAAAACCATAAAAATTCTAAAATGGCGTAAACAAATTTAAATTGAAATTATCTTTAGTAATTTTGATAAGTCTTTGAAATAATTATAACTGGTTTTCAACACACAAGTCATTCATCCTATTATGATTTGTGAGTTTCTATCTCGCGAAGTGTAAAAGAACTAAAGTGAAAAAGTGTTACTCACATTCCAGTGTTGGTTAATTATAATTTTTAATGTCTATGAAATATAGCATGGATTAACAAAGTCATTGTTTGTAGACAAACCTGTATAAAAAAATTAAATTCAAACAAAATATTATATAAATCCTGTTCGTGTGGAACAAGTTTCAGATTTTTCTTTTTTGAAATTCTACATTCTAAAATTAACAGGTTTTTTTGTAAATTGTATGACAAACTAAATCAATAGTCTATCTGAATGGATTTTTCTTGCGAGCTTCGGAAAAAATGGGTACCTAATTTAAGTTATTTTAAAGCCTAATTTTTCCAATCTTTTTCCATGTAAAATATATAGGCATGTTATAGCAGTTTATACTTTTTATTTATGTTCGTGGTTTAATGTTGTTGTATTGCAAGACAGTAAAAGATTTTAAAGTCTTATTCAAGAGAATCCTAATTTATATTTTACTAAGTTGGTCTGAATAAATAGGCATCAGACAAACTAACCTCCAATTATTTCAGGTTTGAGGTGAACTTCTTGGTTGGAAAGATAAAAGACGATGACTATTATGACTATGACGATTATTCTGACATTGGATTCCATTTTAATCCAATGATGGGTTACAATGGAAGAACCTTTACATACCGTAATATCCACATGAATGGAAAGTGGGGCTGGTCTCAGGGTTCAAGTAAAGAAAATTTTCCGTTCCATCCAGGACAGCCGTTCTACCTCGAATTCTACATCACCAAAACCGAGTTTAAGGTTAGTTTTGGATAAGTAAAAAGTATCAAGCATTCCTAAAAATAAATAAATGTGAAAATTTCACTGTTTATTGATAATATGTATTGCTTTTACTGCTCTAAATGTAAAAATGTCAATTCTAAAATATGTACAGTATTTAGCAAAGTTGGTTTGTTTGTTAGCAAAGTACAGGCATTTTGTTTGTTTGCTTACTCAACTTACTATACATACAAGACTATTCTACACTTTTTCCGGGTTAAAAACTTTAACCGCTTATCTTTCGTTGTTTGAAAGATTATATAACATGTAGAAGGTAGCAAAATTTAATAGTTCCCAGATAACTATTAGAGACTATATTTTATATACTAGTAGTACGCTTATTCCGCGTGTAACGGGATGAGTCAACGTGAGCGCAATAATGGAAAAGTCCACCCGCACCTAGCCTACTTACCGGTGTCACTGGTGAACACAATGTTATTTGTATGGGCAAATCAACCAAATCTTAGTCAACGACAATCCTAACTTCTCATCCATTAAGTAACCAAAGTCATTGGTAATATACGTAATGGATTTCCAACAGTTATCGATAGGAGGTAAATCCATCTTTCCTGTACAAAACGACCTTTGATTAATTGAAGCCTATCTCCTTATTTGTTATGAGGCCTATCATAAACAAAACCAAGCCAAACTAAACTAATCTAACTTAACCTAACTGCTACAGCATGCTAGGTTTAAAGCGAAAATGCAAAGAGTAAATAAGTCAAATAAGTCTTAAAATTGCATCCACATTCCAAAAAGACCATAAAATACACAGTTTTCTACTTTTCAAGTTTGCCACCATTTTGGAAAATGGCCGCCATTTTTGAAATAATAGAATTAATATTTTTAACGAATTTTACGGTCTTTTTGGAATGTGGATGCAATTTTAAGAGTTATTTGACTTATTAACTCTTCGCATTTTTGTTATAAACCTACTTGTTTAGGAGCTACATGATGTAAAATGTATACCGGAAGTCATTTTTCCATAAGCTGTAACTCCTAAACGAGTGGGTTTATCGAAAAAATGTCAAGTATAAAAATGTTTTTAAATTGCATGTTCTACCCCCATGATAAAATATAGGGTGTTCCATAAGAAATTTCAAAGTTGACCGCCATATTGGAAAATGGCGGTCATTTACAAAAAATTTATTTAATTATTTTTGAACCTCTTCAAAAACAAGGGAATGTTCCCCATTTAAAGTTTGCTGTAAAAGCATAAGTTACTGAGATCCCAATGGTGGCACACTTAAAAAAAAAACACCCTGTATAACACATACTAACGATGGCCCTATTATATCACCTAAAAATGATTAAAAATCCAATATATGTTTATCTAACTAATGAATGTAAATGCCGTAAACGGTTCTTACACTCTGTACCACTTGCCTTTACCACTTTCATCGCCACTACCTACGTCGTGGACCGGTTTCCCTCCCTTCCCTCAGCATTTTAGTATTGCGGCATGTACATTAATCTAACTGCCACAAACTGTTCCCACACTCAGAACTTCTCGCCTTTACCACTTCCTTCCCTACTTCCTACGACGTGGACCTGTTTTCCACCCTTCCCATAGTCTTTTGGTTTTGCAGATGCATAATCTAACTGCAACCAACGGTTCCCACACTCCGCACTGCTCGCCTTGACTACTTCCTTCACCACTTTCTACGTCGTGGACCTGTTTCCCGCCCATTCCATAGCATTTTAGCATTGCAATTGTTTCATTGCAGATAAATGAAATTTAGCGGGGAAAATTTGTCGTCCCCGAAAAATAATCTTTAGTGCCCCAGTTACTCGAAGATGTCTTCGCATCGTCCATTGGATTGTGCTACTGTGCGGTGTCAGCCTGTTGTGTAGCCTCTTGTTGCTCCACTGGTTTACATAATTTGAATTGTAATGGATTAAATAAGAACGATATATTCCATAAATTCCATAAATAAACTTACGATCCAGAGGAAATCCTATCAGTATTCATTGTATAAATTTGTGTTAATAAGTAGATCAAGTTCGTTGTTTGATAATTTCCATTTTCTTAATAGATGTTACTTAAAAGCTTGGTGTACATTGACATATGAATTAATTGTATTTGTGTATTGAACAGCTTTCTATTTTAAGTTTGATTGTTTATATCTGTAATTAATCATTCTTTCTGTTTATACCCTATTAAATGTCATGAAGCATCTAGACTGCGCGCTTAGACTAGATATCTTCGCAAGATAAATAGTCATAAAATTATTTTGAATTTGATAATATCTTTAGTTTGAATATAAATTGGGGAATGTTTTGATCTGAATATAATTTCATATAAAAGTAGTGATGTTAAGTGTTGTACTCGGAAAAGATACAATCTCACAATGTTTGAATGAGATTGCGTACAAAGGCAATGCACCTAGATGCTGAGTCTGCTTGATAGCATCTTTCTGCTGAAGTCAACAATAAAGTCGATAAAGATGATAAAAAATACGCCATGAAGTTCTGTAAACTAAACCAACGTTTAGCATCCCGTCCTTTTAGTAGACACAATTAGTCAGTTGCTTACAGAACCAGTAATAGCCTCCAACGTAAGCTGTCTGCTCCTCGACACAGGAATACACCATTATTGGAAAAGCCAGGTGTTTACAAACTTAAGTGTGGTGAATGTGACTCGTATTATATTGGACAGACTGGTAGGTGCTTTAAAACCAGATATAAAGAGCACATAAGCGCCATTAAGAAACCCAACCCTACTTCAAATTATGCCGAACATATTCAACAGTATTACCATGATTATTCCGACATAAACAGTTTAGAAATACTACATATAGTCTAGTGCAAATAGCATTTGAATAAGGAAATTCCAAAAAAATTTTGAAACCTGTTGGAAAACATTTATTAACGTCTCCTGAAATCACAGAAGAAAGTCCCAAAGAATCCCATGGGGACTTTTCCGCCATTTTGAAAAATAAGTCGGCCATGTTGGATTTATGCAAGTGTTTACGGAAATGGGTGTTACCTACTAGTAAACTAACTGACTTAAAAACCTCATGTTTGCATAAAAATGTCTTGTAAACTCCAGGCTAGATATTAAATATTAAAATACCCCACCGCAGCAAACCTGCAGACTAAGCGAATTTCCATTTGCCTGAATTTATTTTAATTTAAATCTATTTAAATAACATTAGGTTTAACGAGTACCTAACTTTGCTGTTACAGGTAGCTTAATAAAATGTGTTTTCAGTAAAATATTAGTAGATTAATATAAAATGGATAAATTTTCCATGTTTAATTAATATATTACCATAAACAAGCAAACTACAACATTTTACAATATTCTCCTTAAGAATAACTTAGGATATTATAAATTTGCAGTTTTTTTAATTTTCTCCATAACCAATAACCGTACAAAAACATTTTGGGGTACTGAATTGTTTGTTTTTTGTACGCAATTTAAATTTTCTAGAGTGAAATTAGGAAATTTTGTGTTTTGACAGTCAAAAATTTTAAAAACAAATTTCTGTCCCATACAACCCCCTTGTTAAAATTTACAGTTTTTTTAAATTTTCTCCATAACCATTAACCGTAAAAAACACTATGATATACTAAATTATTTGTTTTTTAATCTCTTTAAAAAGGTCTAGAGAGAAATTGGGAAATTTTGAGTTTTTAGGGTATAAAATGAGTAAAATGAGGATAATTTGGTAATACAAAAATTTAAAAAAGAGTTCCCCGCTACCCCACCAACAAATCAATATTTATTGCTCTATTTTCTGTACACCTCACAAACGTGGGATGCCAGGTTTCACAAGTTACATCTCCGCAGACACTCTCATTGTTTCAACAGCTCTGCATATTTCCCCAACAAAGACTTTGGTACTAGTGGGACAAAAAAAGAGACCTTCGTATATTGTTGATTACTCTCACTCGATGCAACGTATTCATGCTCATTCCTGCCAAAGGAAACAAACCTTACCTCATTTTTAATATTAGGAAACTGCAAGAAGGTTTAGGTGAGTTACAATATTTTCTTTTCCTGCTACCCGCATTCACGCAGGTTGCGATACAACCTATGCCATATTCAGCAAAGGAAAAAAACCGCATAGAAGAAGCTCCAAAACGACGCAGGACTTCGGGAATCCGTCAGTATAGCCAAAATATATGGTGTTAACTGACCTTAACATTGCAAGGCACCGCATGTACATAAGAACGATAGCAAAGCAGAGACTTAGTGTAAATCCAACCTCGTCTCTATTCCCCCAACCAAAGCAGCAGCCCTCCAATACACCCTGAGGGCTTATCATCAAATTCAGCAGTGGAAAGGTGTTAATCTCCCAGCTACGGACTGGGGCTGGAAACTAAGTGCTAGTCAGTGTCTAATACCTGTAACAACTCATCAACAACCTGCTCATCAAAATCTACTTAATCTTATATTCTGCAACTGCAAAGGAAATTGCGAGAAGTATTGTTTTGGCCGAAGAAGCTCGTTATCTTATTCACATATGAGCGGACACTGTGCAGGATTTGGGTGCGGTAATACAACTACCAGTTACTGAAGATAAACTTGACGACCTGTTAATCTAGTGGTAATATTAACTAGTGAATGATCCAGTCTACTATATCCACAACGTTCAAACAAAAATTTTGGAGCTTTAAGGGAAATGTGACGAAAACGGCCGGGCCGTCAAGCGGCTGAGCGAAAATGTATCGAATGCTTCTATTGGTTCTTGAGTAGGATGGTTAAAATATTTAGGTAAAGCCTTTTAGTGTATTTGAAAGATTTTATTCTCTACAATTTGTATTAAAAGTTTTCCTTATAACAGCAAACCAAAAGGATACTTGGTGAAAAATGCTAATTATTAGTTACAATATGTAAAAATAAATAAGTTTTAGGTTAGTAAATAAAAGTATAAAAAATAAAGTAACACATATTTAGTGAATTTCTCTATAGGGAAGTAGCCTTGAGTAATTTTTGTTTGATTTTAACCAAATTTGGTGTGAAGGTGTAAAGC